AGAAAGACAGACAGACAGACAGACAGGCAGACAGAGAGACAGACAGACTAAGCGCTTTATAGTAAGTAGGATGGAACCTGTCAGGAGGATTGTTGAGTTCAGGGGCCGTAGATGCATTATCTACAGCCTCCACATTACAAATGAACGATGGAAACCGCTCCTCCAGACCGTCTAAAACTCCCATTCAATTTGCCCTACTTTCCAGCCACTACAGTACTCGGTCCCCTGCAGATCTTACCCCCCCTCCACAAAGTAATCATTAATCGATTGAACCCCTCTTCTCGCCACTTCGGTACCCCGCTACCAGCAGATCTGATCCCCCATTCAAACAATTATCATTCGAAAGCCTCCAAATTCCCGCCACTACATTACCCGGCCGCATGCACATTCAAACACGCCCTACAGGAAACCGCTAAAAGACAGGCTTGCTGCAGAAAGTGGTAGTGGAGGGAGGTTTTCGTCACGGGTCGACTTATATATCATTCGATAGGATTTTTCACGGGGGATCTAACAGTGTACAACGCAGCTGCAAAAACACCAACGGGAAGGAAAAAACACTGTTTTATGATTTGGGCTTGACGAAGTTCGAAGTTTGGGGTCATACCAAGGGAGATATTTTGATCTGTAATAGGGTGTGCCATTGCAGACTTGCAGACAATAAAGAGATCCCTACGACAGTGGAGTGCCTCAACACCATCTTCTCGGTTCTGTAGGAAAATTCCTTCAAAAATGGGAAAATGCCAAAAAAATCGACTCCATTATTTTGCCATAAATTGGTGTCATTTTCTCAATGGAACCTGTAAAGAGTGTTGAGTGCAGAGACCGTAGATGCAGTTATCTTCAGCCTCCAACTCAAAAAGGAGCCTGGAGAGAGCCAATCACTCATTTTCACATTGTACTGAGTAAAGTCGAGTACATGACGCAATCCAAAGCAAATTCTGAACATCATGTTTAAGGAACAATCACAAGCACTGAAGCGTGCACCCCATGTACATGCAATCACTTTTCGGATGGAGCTCAAGTGCATGGCGCAATCCAAAATAAAGCATTTTCAACATTTTAGGGTAGCCTCTTGTAGAGCTCGATGAGCTGAGTTCAACGGTATTTTTTCTCCCCGATCAGTTTATTTTGAAGCGATTTATAAACAAAAGACGAAAAAGACGCGAACTCGCGGTATTATCGCAAATTTTTGAGTTCTTACGGCGAGTACTGTAATGCAAGCCATTCGTCAAATGAAAAACGGAAAAGCACCCGGACCAGAACAAATACGGCCAGAACATTTGAAGTGCCTGCAGGAAGATCTTGCGAAGCGTTTAGCTGATCTATTCACAGAAATGCTTGCCTCAGGGATTATTCCGAAAGACTGGCTGAGCTCCCACACTATCCTGATATACAAGAAAGGGGTGTGATCCTGGATAATTACCGCTCGATTGCACTTCTCTCAACAATGCTCAAGGTCTTCTCCCGCGTAATCCTGAATCGTATTCGTCAAATCCTGAATATGAATACGTGCAAAGAGCAGGCCGGCTCCCCGAAGGTTCACTATCGACCAAAGCCACGTGATTTCTCAGCCGACGGGAAGATGTCGAGAATACCGAATTGCTTTGTGCTGTCTCTCCATTGACTTATACAAGGCATTCGATACAGTTGAACATCAAGCAGTGCTAAACGCCCGTACAGCTTTTGGAGCTCCCCGAAAACATGTCGAAATGATACGGCAGTGCAATACCAGCTGCTTCACCGATGCAAACTCATATGGAAACCCGATACGTATCCAAATACGACGCATGGCTCGGCAAGGCAAGATCATTTCTCCGATGCTTTCTTGGCTGCTCTGGAAACAGTGGTGCGGAACGCCCAGACGCCCTGCGGGATCGACATAATCAGTGAAAGGCTTCAACACATAATGTTTGCACGACATTGAACTCATTGAAAGCAAACCGAGTGCTCTCGAAAACTCATTAAGGTTCCTAAGAAATGCTGCTAGCTCTATCGGCCTCGAGATCCATCCATGAAAAACCAAGTGGATGGAAAACAGTTTCGCCAGCGACAACTGTTTATGCATGGAAGACACAATCATTGAAGAAGTTTCGGCATACGTATACCTAGGCCAAGCAGTCGTAATGCACAACGATTGAAGTCACCTGTCACCTGTCATCCCGTTGATCATCGACTTCCTCGAGCGGGCACCAGTAACGTCTCCATTCAACCCTGTCACGAGCCAGAGTGGTCCAGTGAATCGTTCTCGTTTCAGGGACACGAGGTTCAACATTCCTTTCGTTCAGAGCTCTTGTGAAGAAGTCTGACCATCTCCTTGGTGGCCTTCCAGGAGTTCGTTTGATGTCCCGAGGGAACCAGTCAGTAACCGCCCTGGTCCAACGGTCATCACTATGTCGCATAACGTGTCCGCCCCACCTGATCTTCGATTTCTTGGCGTAATCAACGGCATCCCTGATCTTCGTTCGGTG